AACTTAATATGTGTATAATATGGGAATATAGAGTTGTACTCCTTAGAATAGACACTCTGGCATGTTTTATTTAACCTAATGTTTCTATTCTCTACAGAAGTGAGAAGTTGGATAATTTATCTATGCATACAGAGGTGTATACACCTTGCCTCTCATTCTCCTACTAGCTCCTTTGCATGACAGCAGCAAATGTTCTCAGATATATAAATACATTCTTCATCTCAATAATCTATTGGTGCCATAATAGTTTGATTTTGAAGCCATACCTGAAGAAGCTTGTAAGAGAACAACTAATCCTGTTGGTCGCTCTTCAGTAGAAGGGCCACTTTGGCCACAAATAACACAATCATATATAGCTTCAGAAACATGCTCTTCTGCTGTTGCAATCTCCATAGCAGTATCAGCATCTGGTGACTCTAAGGAATGGAGAAACAAGACAATAAGTAACCAACAATCTCATAAGGTAATAGTAGGGAAAAACTAGTTGTAATTTGAACCATTATAAAATGAAGTTTATTACTTTTCCTCTGAAGGATGCTTTTTTGTGGTCAGACTTTACCAACGCAATACATAATCCCCATGCTTAAAAAAAAAGTTTGGTGTAACAATGGAAGGCAGTACAAGCATCTTCTGTTATAAGAAGAGACTGAGAGCCTGGTATGTATTTTAGTTCTGCAGTGTTGCAAAATCTATTTAGAACTAACACATTAGACTTACTAACTTTATGCATAACTGTAGCATACAGCATCCATTCATGAGTGGTCAATCATGCATAGCTGAGCTGCTCAGCCAGGACACTGTGAGATCCTAGCATGTGAACTGCTACAAAGAAAAGTGAATGCTAATGTCATAGCCGTAAAATAAGATTCAAATGTGGCATGGACTTTGTTTCATCTTGTTTGCTTATTTATTGGATAACAGTTGCACTGTTTGATACAACCTGGATAGTGTGACCTTGGAGGAGGCCCTCAAGAGCTCCAATAATAACTCTAGTTCATTGATAGTGGCTTCAGGATCTGCTGCCCTTAGGACTTGCTCTCAAGTGGCGATTAGCAAATGGAATGAGTAACTGCAGTAAGCCTGGCAGTGTTTGCAAGACCCCCCTATGTGACCTTCCCAAAGGCGCAAAAGACAAAGGCTTTATCCATCTGAACAGTAGAGCCTGTTACCCCAGTGGTGGAACACAGCCTTCAAGGCTAGAAGGCTAAGGCCAGCAGAAAAAAGAGAAATGACTGTAAAGAACTGCATCCAACAAGAGCCATCATGCATCAGTATGGATAAAGAATGAAACAAAATATAATGAAGAATTCCAGACAAATTGAATATAGGTGAAGTTGAAGAATCAATAGGTGTGCTGTTGCTAAGACAAGACAAGACAAAGACAAGAGACAAGACAAACTGATATTAGTGAGAACCCTGCCTATCTTGTGGGACATGCCGGGAGGATGGCATTTCCATCTAAAGTTCTAGAAAAATTTAACAGGGGTTTGGGCACGCACAAAACTTGTTATGTGTGAATCACACAGAGAACATGCTTAACACCATCCCAAGCGTTATTATGCACCACTTTAATATTAGGATTACACAAACCATAAAGTTAATTTTTGTTGCTCCATCTATGAAAAGTCTCTGAATTTTAATACAAACATCCTCAAAAATATCTCTAATGAGAAACTGCAAACATTACTTTAAATTGACTAAATTGAGCAATTAACAAAAGGTAGCATATTCCACAAAATGTTCCCATTGTTATAATAAAGTAGGGCAGCACACTTCAATGCAATTGTTTTAAGTGTCAAGGTAAATAGCACAATTTATCAGTCATATATTATACATTTAAAATTTTAAGCCATAATACTACTGTACCCAAATTAATACCTTAAATGTTCAGCTAAATTTAAGATTACATGTAAGTTTAATTAAACATCTAAAGAAACTTAAAAACAAAACTCACAGCACTAATCTTAATAGAAATTAATGATTTCCACTAACTGATTTATTTTGAGAGATGCCCACTTTCAGTTATTCAGAGATACTCTTACTTAGCAACATAGGACATGATAGACAATATACCACCACTGGGTCTACCTGACATTCTAATACATTAAAAAAAAATGTACATAACAGTTACTAGCCACTGCAGTTTTTCAGGGGAGAACTTTGGGCAATTTCTACCATATATATATATTTTTAAAAAGAACAAGCAGCCCTGGATTATTGGAACAAACCAGACCAACATTTCGGATCCTCCAGAATTTGATACTAAATGTTTTCTGTTTTCACAACTCCTAAACTGAAGCAGTGGAAACAGTTAATATTCCAAAAGGTTAAACAGAGTTTACAACACGTAACTGGAAGCAGTGCTGCTCTGGTAGAACTGCTGCATCAAGATGATTCCCAGAATCAGAACGATAATATTGGTTGGCCTAATGTAGCATGTGTATTCTCAGAAGACCAGTACAAGCTATTTATTTTCTAATAAATTCCAGTACCTGAAAACCTGTGTCATGCCACATTAAACAGACTATAGATTTATCTCCCTCGCACCTCCAACTCTTCAAAAAGCGCTACTTCAAAAACTGAGTGTGCTAAATCATGTGGTAATTCCAATTCTTAATAAGAATTGGAAAAACAATTATTCTACCTATAGTTCAAATGGATATTTTTCATGAATTCTCTGAGAACTAAACTGCCACACATTAATTTCACAGGGTTTTTTAAAATATGCCACAAGTGATCAAATTCTAGTATACAGTAATTCCATTTGCAAGAAATCAGACACATTTGAAGGTCATACAACTTTATGCAAAATGGATAGATGATGCGGTTCTACCCTGACAATAGCAATTCCATAATGTACCTCTACAGATATCATTCATAGAAGCAAAGCAAAAACCGGCCAGCTGTGAATTATTAATACATGTATAAGTTGCTTTGACTCATAGCAACTTAAGATAATTATGATTCATCGGTTTCCTGTTTAGACCTAAACCAGCCTGGATAAAGGAAAAAGTGTAGGAAATTGCTGTATGCTGAGTAAGGCTCCTGATCCAGTTTTGTCAGCTTTGACCAGAAGTAGTTTTTTGAGGTTATAGGCAAGAAGTTTTCCTGCTCTACCTAGGAAGCACCCACATATCTTCTGCATATAAAGTACATGATCAGCCCATGGTGATGACAGGTGACTTGCAGTTCTGTAGCATTTACAAAAAACAATTTCGGGAAATCTAGAAAAAGACATGTCCACTTCCTTTCAATGCCTATTTCATTCTCCTAAACACTTCTGTTTGGCATTAGCTTATTAATCTAGTAATTTACCTGCAGAATCAGCCCTTTACTTTCCTGCAGATACAGTCAGGTCCAGAAATATTGGTACATCGACACAATTCTAACATCTTTGGCTCTATACACCAAACAGTTGTTTTGGCCACGCCTAATGAAACAGTTGTTTTGGCCACGCCTAATGAAACAGTTGTTTTGGCCACGCCTAATGAAACAGTTGTTTTGGCCACGCCTAATGGTAATGGGACAGAATAATAATCATACATCAAACTTTCCCTTTTTAATACTTGGTTGCAAATCCGTTGCAGTCAATCACAGCCTGAAGCCTGGAACGCATAGACATCACCAGACGCTGGGTTTCATCCCTGGTGATGCTCTGCCAGGCGTCTACTGCAGCTGTCTTCAGTTCCTGCTTGTTCTTGGCGCATTTTCCCTTCAGTTTTGTCTCCAGCAAGTGAAATGCATGGTTAATGGGATTCAGGTCAGGTGACTGACTTGGCCATTGCATAACATTCCACTTCTGTCCCTTCAAAAACTCTTTGGTTGCTTTTGCAGTATGCTTTGGGGTAATGGGACAGAATAATAATCATACATCAAACTTTCCCTTTTTAATACTTGGTTGCAAATCCGTTGCAGTCAATCACAGCCTGAAGCCTGGAACGCATAGACATCACCAGACGCTGGGTTTCATCCCTGGTGATGCTCTGCCAGGCGTCTACTGCAGCTGTCTTCAGTTCCTGCTTGTTCTTGGCGCATTTTCCCTTCAGTTTTGTCTCCAGCAAGTGAAATGCATGGTTAATGGGATTCAGGTCAGGTGACTGACTTGGCCATTGCATAACATTCCACTTCTGTCCCTTCAAAAACTCTTTGGTTGCTTTTGCAGTATGCTTTGGGGTAATGGGACAGAATAATAATCATACATCAAACTTTCCCTTTTTAATACTTGGTTGCAAATCCGTTGCAGTCAATCACAGCCTGAAGCCTGGAACGCATAGACATCACCAGACGCTGGGTTTCATCCCTGGTGATGCTCTGCCAGGCGTCTACTGCAGCTGTCTTCAGTTCCTGCTTGTTCTTGGCGCATTTTCCCTTCAGTTTTGTCTCCAGCAAGTGAAATGCATGGTTAATGGGATTCAGGTCAGGTGACTGACTTGGCCATTGCATAACATTCCACTTCTGTCCCTTCAAAAACTCTTTGGTTGCTTTTGCAGTATGCTTTGGGGATGTACATACCCTCAAATTAAAGCTGACAGACTGCAGTTAACGCACATTTTGGTTGTTTTATTCCAAATCCATTGTGGTGGTGTATAGAGCCAAAGATGCTAGAATTGTGTCGATGTCCCAATATTTCTGGGCCTGACTGTATGTAAATATTTACTTACTTTAAAATAGTTCATTTAAAATAATTAAAGGGAAATATAATTCAACGGAAACTTTTAAATAGAAACGATCTGAAATAAAACAACAATATTTCTGCTCTTTAAGAAAATCCTCAAAATATTGATCCAGACACTCTAGATTATTACTAGGGATATACATTGGAATTTATTCAAACCCAGAATTGAATCAGGCAAAGGCAAAAAGAATTGGGAGACAGGTAACTAGAAGAAAACTTTCTTTATGCTTCAGATATCTGAAGGTGTACAGCCACACTGAGTGTCCAAAAAAGGTAACACATTTCTCCCCAGACTCTCCTGTAGACTGAAGAATGAAGGGATAGTTTTATAACTGAGAATTTCAATTTCTAATGTTCATAAAGAAGTTATTGAAATTCCCTTTTCTAAAAAGACTACAGTTTAAAGATAATTAGCATAAAAAACATGATTCCATGTAAATGACATTTGGAAGGGTTAATCTCCTTATAAAGGGCTATCATTCTTGAAGGTTTAGACATTTAGCAAGTCGCTCACTTCAGACAGTCACTAGACTGTCAGATAGTCATTTCACAGCTCAAGTACTGCAGTCGCTCTACATGGGGCTGCCCTTGAAAACTCTTGGAAGCTTCACTGGTCCAGAATGCATGTGACCTCTGTTTCACGAGCTGCATGGGTTGCCAGTATGCTTCTGGGTTCAATTCAAGGTGCTGGTAGTTATGTATAAAGCTGTTCACGGCATGGGACTGGGTTACTTTTGGGACCATCTCTCCCCAGTTGTATCTACCCATCCTGTAAGATCCAACAGCAGATCCTATCTGCTATTGTCATCTGACGGGTCACTGGAGGAGAGCGTTTTCTGTTGTGGATCCAGAGGCATCATTCCTCTGGAGATTAGACTTGCCCTGATCCTACTTGTTTTCCATGAGGCCTTAAAAACCTTTGTGGCTGAGCTTGGGGTCCAGCTTGTGAGGTGAGCCCATATCTTGGTTATGCTGATGGTGTCAATTGGTTTTATCTCAGCTCCTATATTTGTTATTTACTGTTTTTTATGATGTTTTAATCCTGTTTTTATTTTGTATTAGCCGCCCTGAGTCATATGTTTGAGATGAATGGCCATATAAAATGAATGAATGAATGAATGAATGAATGAATGAATGAATGAATGAATGAATGAAATTTCAAAAGTGATCCTGAGTTGGGTTTCAATCCAGGCTGGGAGAACCTTCAAAACAGCCTTAGTCAAAATGGTCCTTCTCTGAATTGCCACATCAGGATTTGCAAAATTAGCGGTGAGGACACACTGCTGGAAACCACCTACAAATTCAACTAATATCCATCTGTGATGGTAAAATCTGACTGGAGGAATAGGAAGCAGTGCAACTCTTGACCAGACTCTGCTTATTTAAGAAGCCACATGTTGAGCTTCCTTGTTTATCTATAACATCATCTTCTACTTCATAAAAGTGGGAAATGAAGTTATTTGGGCAATTGCCAGTCTATAGCTAATATTTTGTTTGTGGTGTTGCTAAAGTTTAAAAGAAATTAGAAGAAATTGTATTCTAATTAATGTAGCCCTATTAATTCTTTTTAAATTCTTTTTATTATTTTGCTTTCTTAGTACACCCTCTGCCATAGAAACTCACTAGGTGATTTTGGACCATCACACTCTCAGCCTAACCTATCTCATAGGGTTGTTGTGGTGGGAAAAAACAGAAGGATGGCGCACTGTGTACACCACCTTGAGTTCTTATATTAAAGATAAGATGCGCTGATGCGTCGTGGCAAGCCTGCTGAGTCCCGGAGCGGCGCAGAGAGTTCTGCCGGGCCCCAGTGTGGGCGGCAACCGACAGCGAGCCTTAAGACAACCTGGCCCCTGTGGGGCACGGGGAGCCCAGATGAACCGCAGCATGGCGTGGCAGGCTCCAGTGACCAGCAGTGCAACGTGATGAACTCTGGCAGGACTCGGCACAGCATTTCCAACCCCAGGCCCAGTGGGCCCAACGGCCCAATGGACTCCAGGCCTAGCAGGCTCAGCAGGCCCCAGCGAGCCCAGTATAGTGTGGCGAACCCCAGCAGGCCCCGATGCAGGGCGGCTGTCCAACTGTGGAGGAAGATCCCTCGGCTTTGGAGGGACAGCTGGGCAGCGGGGGGGGGGGCGCCGGACAGCATGTCAATTGACTCTTGTTTTCAAGAGGGGCGAACTGGGGCTTCAGGACCTAGCCATCCCTATTTAATCCCGCCCAGCGCCAGTGGAGAGTCGTAGGGTCCCTCCAGTGTGTATCTGGGACTCCCTCCTGGTAGTGAGAGTCTGGGGGGGAGTCTAGGAGCGTATGAGGATGTGAGAGCAAGGAGGTGTGAGTGTATAGGATGCCCGTCCTGCCGACTAGTGAGAGAGGTCGTGCAGGGGGGCAGAGTGTGATCATGGTGTGAGGTTGGTGGGGGGTGGGTCCCAGCCGGCGCCAAGAGCGTGAGCAAGTTTAATAAATAAATAAATAAGGTGCAAATTTAATAAATACATAAATACAGTTGGTCCCCAGTTAATGACCACTCATTCAACGACCATTTGAAGTTACGACGGCACTGAACGAGTGGTGATTATGACCAGTGCTTGAAGTTCTGGCCGTCCTGGCACCCCTGTGATCATGTGATCACAATCTGGGTGCTTGGCAACTGGTTCACACTTACAATGCTTGCAGTGCCCCACGGTCACGTGATTGCGATTTGCGACCTTCCTTGCTGCTTCCCACAAGCAAAGTCAATAGGGAAGCCAGAAGGGAAGGTTGCAAGTTGCTCGGGTAAGTCTCTCCCACTTATACACCCTCTCTGAGTCTCAATGTGCTCACACTGTGCCTCCCTGGCCACTTGTGCATTCTTGTGCACCCTTTCCCAACTGGAGCAGCCACCCCAAGCCCCACCGCGCTCATGTTGCATCTCCCCCACCACTTATGTACCTTCATGCACCCTCCCCCACCTGGTAGCAGCCATCCCAAGCCCTGCTGCACTTGTGCTGCGCCTCCCCAGCCACCTGCACACCCCCTTGCTCCCTCTCCCACCCAGCAGCAGGCACTTACCTGCCTGCTTGCAAACTGCCTGGGACTTATAACTTCCTACCAGCTTCCTCACTGACTCTGGTTGATGGAAGCCAGCAGGAAGTTGCAAGGAGATGCTCACTTAACAATCCATGATCCTTACTTAACGATGGCAAAGGGGACTTCAGGGATTGCCGTTGCTGAGTGATGCAGTCACATGATGTTGTGCTTTACGACTGCATCCCTTAGCAACAGAAATTCCAGTCCCAATTGCCATCGTAACTCAAGGACTACCTGTCAATAAATAAATAACATTTTAAAGCTAACAACTACAGTTACTGTGCCTGGGCATGCACAGTAGCAGTGTAAAGCTCAGGAAAACACAAGTTTTAGTAAAGGAAGCATTAAGGAGATGTCAGCTGGGCGGTGCCTCATGATCACACATCCTGCCACCTACTTAATTCAAAAACGTGTTTTCCTCAATCCATACACTACCATGCAAATCTCAGGAAAGGTGTGGTGTCTTTAAGGAACAGCTGACTAGTATAGTGAGGGTGCCCACACTAAATCTGAAGTACACATATCTGCTTCAGATGCAACTATTGCAACAGACAGACCTATTCCTTGTTTCCATATACATTTAACATGAAAACAAAGCTTCTAGGAAAGCTTACATCTAGAGTAGAGATTCATCATCACCACTTGTTAAGAATCTCATTTTGAATCTAAACAATTATTTCCATAGTTACTGCTACTTGTATGTTCTAAAACAGAATTTAAAGGAAAGATACTGTTTTGTTCCTTTTGGTCTAAAAGATTCTCTATTCTTCCTCATTTGTCTTTTAACTTCATTTCCAAATATCAAGTGCAATGAACCATGCATAATGCAAACAGACTACAATCTTACCAACATCCATAGCAGTCTCCATAAAACTTTTCTGCCTTGATGCAAATTCAGCCAACAACTTCTGCTGCCGTTCCCTGGCCTTCTGTCGTCTAGTGAAAAAAAGAAGGGGGATAATTATAAAGTAACTGTTGGCATTTATTTGTAAGTTCTATTTATAGATTGCTAGAGGGGAAGAAATACTCTTTTTTTTTTTCAAATCTGAAAGATCATTTTTGCCCCAAAGTCACTTCAACCCCTCAACTCTCCTTTTTTATTGCCTTCCCTTCTAGTCTGATTCCAAAGCAGTCTAGGACAGAAGCAGAAAATGGGAGATTCTTTATCATTATATGAAAAGTTTACTGGTTACAGTTAAGAAATAACTCTTATTACCTGTGCATTACCTCTGAGAAATCCTGGAAAATGACAAATATTCCTATCTTCAAATAATACACTCACTCAAGGACTAACAGATCAGACAGATATCAATACATGTCATTTTGATTAGCAAGCTATTTACATATGTTCTGAATGACATGCAACTAAGTGAATACTCTCTGCACTCAAGGGTACCAATCAACGGCATCAAACTGGAGTGATTTGTGTTACAAATTAACACAACACCCTTTGGTGCGGTAGCTAATACCTTAGAATCATGTATGGTTTTGAAAGGGCCTATGTGTATCTAATCCAACATCTTGCTCAGTGCAAGAATCCCTAAATTATTCTGGAAAGGAAACTATTTGGCCTCCATTTGAAAAGTTCCAGGATATATGTCTGTGTGTGTTCACCACTCTATGCAAGCAGTTCCATTGACAACTATTATCATTAGGAATCCTTCCTAATACTCAGCCTGTATCTCCTTTCTTTTCTTTTCACTTCAACCTATTGATCCTTTTCCTGCTCTCAGTTCCAACAAGAATAAATCCACTCCCTCTTGTTTGTGCCAGTCTTTTAGACACTTATAGATCACTATCATACTTACATTTAGTCTTCTCTTTTGTAAGCTAAACATGCCCATCTCCTTTAACCATTCCTTATAGGTTTTGGTTTCTTGTTCACTTACCATCCTACTAGCTCTCCTCTGATCCTGCTCCAGCTTGTCCATGCTTACTTAAGGTGCAGTGTCCAGAACCAGATACAATACTTTAAATGTAGTCTAACCAGCAAAAAGTACAACTGGAAATATTACCTCCTGTGATATGGATGCAATGCTTCTCTTTATGCAACCCAAAATTGCATTGGACTTTTTTGTTCATATTACTCCTGGATTTTTCTTACACACTGCTGTGAAGCCAGGTTTCCCCAATCCTGTAGCCATGTACTTTCCTAACCAGATGTAGAATGTTATACCTGTCACAGCTAAGCATTATCATTGCAGTACTCAAGTCTGCTGTGGTCATTTAAATGCTGATTTTGTTCTCTAGACCAATCTACCCTAGTATTATTTGCAAATTTCCATTCCATCTCTAGATCATTCATAAAGATACCAAATAGCACTGGGCTAAGTATAGAGCCCTGTGGGATTCTACCTGATACCTCCCTCAGGGCAATGCAGAATAATTTATGAGCACCCTTTGGGTGCAGTTGTTCAACCAGCTGCAAACCTATCGAAGTACAGTACCATCCAGTCCACATTTAGCCATCTTGCCTGCAAGGATATGAGAGACCTTCTCAGACCTTTACTAAGATCAAGGTATACTATATCCACGGCATTCTCTTGATCAACTTTTTTTTGGCAAATCTTTGCTGGCTCCTAGTACTATAATGGCAGCATCCTTTTCTAAATGGTTGCAGACATGCCACTTGACAATTTGTTTTTGCACATTCCCCAATATAGATGCTAAATTAACTTGTCTATAGTTCTTCTTTCTTCCCTTTTTTAAATAATAAAATCTATCAAAATAAAAAGAATCTGAAATATTACAAAAATTGGCTTGAAATAGAAGAATAAATTGTAATAGCTATAAATACAAAGTTCTTCACTTAAAAACAAATCAAATGCACAAGTATCGGATAGGGGGTACATGGCTTGGTAATATCACCTGTGCAACAGAACTCAGAACAGCATTTGACTTTAACTTGAATATGAGGCAGCAGTGGACGTGGCTGCAAAAAAGTCAAATGCAATTTGAGGCTACATCAACTGAAGTACAGTTTTCAAATCATGAAAAATAATACTTTCATTTACTCTGCATCGGTTAACAATTCAAGAGTTACTCTGTGAGTGGATGGCCATGTACACTGAGTACATAAATTAATAAACAATATTATGTCTGCATAACAATTAGGTTCTGGGCACCGTGCTTTAGAGAACTGGACCAGAGTCAGAAAAATGCAATGAGCATGATAAAGGAAATTAAATCCTATGAGACTGAAGGACTGTTAGCCCTGCAAGATAGTTCAGACAAGAAGCACAACCAGGAGTACTAGCTCTATCTCTATTGTAAGGCTACATTAACAGAATCCTGCAAAACTGAAAGTATTTCTCTCCTCTTTTCCTTTTAGCCTCCGGAAAACTAGAAAGGGTTCCTTCTGAAATGTTTCCCATGCCCTTCCTCCTTCTGTGGGCTGAGATACTTTTTATATGCTGGTTGTCTGCTGTGGCTTTCCCTCCTGTCTCCCAAGGTCATTTCCACATATCATTACAAGGACCAGAAAAAAAAGAATGAGGTAGATATGATAGCACTCTTTGAAATATGTGAAGAAATGTCAAGACTCTCTCTTCCTAAAGGACACAATACAGCGGTGGACTCCCCTTCACAGACTGGATGGGGATTTACTGTAGCTGCTTAAATTTGGATTCCTGCACTAAGAAGGGATTAGTTATTGGTCTAAATGCCCCTTCCAACTGTGTAACTGCATATTCTTATAATTCAAAACAATACAGAATACAATAAAACAAAACATATTAAATAGAATAAGGACATTTTGTATATAAATAAAAAATACAATGCTCACAAATAT